TATTTGTATAAACACTGGACAGGATCATGGCTAGGAGAGTGAGATGGGATTGGGTGACAAAGATGGAAGGAAGGAGGATAGAAGTTAAGAGAGAGCACCATTAGTTTTTGAAAGGGAGGATGACTTTAGATGTTTTTTTCCCTTTGTAGTCCTATCATGACCTGAGAACATTGCTGTTGAACTAAGTAGTTCACATACATGTAGTGGGATTTATGTATGTGAAATGCCTGTGATGAGTCTTGTTCAGGTCCCTTTGGCCACTTTATGTTACCTGACCCTGGATGTGAACAGACTGCCAAGTCAAACTAAACCTGATTTATCCCCTGCACAAACACGGCTCTGTATGCAAACACTGTATTATGGAGATTCTCCCTGAAGCTGTTATTGCTTGTCATTTTTATTCAGATTCAGTAGTAAACCTTTGAATCCGGTTTGAATTTCTGTGCCTGAAATGTATCTGCTCGACTGGACGTCATTCTTACTATATTTAATTAAATGTATTTTACTTCATGGTCTGCATAATCTTTTAATTGGCCCTGTTTATGGTGTTTTACTACCAGGTCTGTATAGTTTTTTTTTTTTAATTTATGGACCTTTGTGAATAGGATTTTAGAATAAAGCAGAAAATGACATTGAGATTAATGTCAAGTTACCAGGTTAAATTGTAGATTAATATATATCTTATTTTTTTGCTTTTGGTCATCATGAGGAATGTTGAATATACAGAGATAATAAATTGTAGATCCTCTAGCCTGTTTGTGTTTCATGCATGTGTGTGAATTACAGGCCTACGTGCATATTTATGTGTTTACACTTATGTATAACAAATTAGTTAGTTTGTGCACTTTTATATTTATATATATATATATATATATATAATATATATATATATATATATATTCATAAGAGAGACTAGTCTATTATATAATATACTTTTTAAAAACAATTGCTATACTGCACAACAATAAGATTAAAAACAATATATGAGGTTAGACAGAAAAACAAACAATAAATAAAGATTAAAACCCAAATTAAAAATGACAGTTGTGTGCTGAAACAAAAGTCGCCATGAATTATATAGGTATATATAGGCATAATTTATATAAAGTATTGAATACTGATATTGATAACTGCGCCCAGAAATGAAATTTAATTCTAAGCTTAAGCATAGAGTTAGCCAACCACGACCAGATGATTTTTTTGATACATGTAGGGGAGTTGTTTCAGCGATACTCTGAACAGTTCCTGTAATCCTCGACTCCAAAACTCAGTTTCTGCTAACCTGAAACGCAGCAGCTGTTCAGTTAAATAAACTTTATTGTAGTGTTAATAATAAAATCCTCTTTAAAATGCTTTTATTGTTTTATTGTTTTAAGCACACTTTACTCTTTAGACGGGTGTGTTCTGCGTTATTTATGTAAGATAATATGAGATAAACTTTATTGATCCCACACTTTACAACAGATAGATAAAATATATTAAAACTAGAATTAGAGTTGTATGTAAACTATATACAGCTTTTATATACAGATGTGATTTATAAGGAACATTACAGAGGTCACATGAGGAGGTCAGAAATATATACAGCAGTTCAGATTAGAGTTTATAAACAAAAACAAACAAAACAACCTTCTATGTAACTCAGTGTTGCTGTGTGTCAGTAATATATATTATATTATATAATATATTATAATATTATATATTCTCCTGTGTGTTGTTTCTCCATCAGGGTTTGAATCAGTCGCTCTTTTTGAAGTTTTCTCTAATTTCTTTGTGTTTTGGAAAACTTGAATGAATTTCACCTGTTTTACACTGAGTACAAACTGGTTTGGTTCTTTCTAGACATTTTTATTTCTCTCTCTCTCTTCTCATCTCTCTCTCTCTCTCTCTCTCTCAGGCTGAAACTTGACTCTCTCACTCAGGCAGGAGATGATGGGAATAATTTACAACCTGTAATCAATCACAAACTGTGGGAACTGAGAAAGAGACAAAGAGTGAGAGAGAGTGAATGTCCTTACAGCCACAGAGGAGGGTTCACTCTCTTATGTACAAATACTGATACCTGTACCTATAATAATATTATCTTACCTGTACTTAAAGTACTAAAAGATTGTAAAGCTGTAAGTGTCGTGAGATAGAAGCTGACCTCTGCAGCCGGGGTAAAGATAAACTTTTATTACTTCTGTCTCTAGTGGGCTGGACTTCTGCAGCGGTCTCTTCACAGGTCTGTATAAGACCAGCACCTCCTACCCCACAGACCTCCTGACCCAGCAGGAACCCCACAGACCTCCTGGGTTCGGCTGGTTCTGGATTACAGGCTGTTAATGTTAGTTAGATTGTTTTTATCCTGTGTAACTCTGTGGGTATGAATGAACGAGCCCTGCCTTTATAGGCGTGCCTGCGGGACAAAAGTGACGTAAAGTGATGCCTTATGCTCGCAGTCATGTGACTCTGTAGCAGCCAATCTCGTGGCCGCTGGGTGGTTTAATGATTAACAATGAGCTTTTCTTTAAGGCTGCAGGTGAGACCGCTTCACTGGATCTGTCCCTGTTTTATGACTCGTTTATTGAATCGGTTGTTCGGTAACCTGAACATAAAGGATAAAAACCTCCTGAACCGCATTGTGTTTTCCACAGACCCCTCTGATGGCTGTCTACAAGACCAGGTCCATAGTGGACTCTACAAACCCCCTCCTTAATGTGCACATTGTGACTGTAGCATCTTATTTTAGCATTGTGCACATGAATGAACATTGTTACTGCAGTGGTTCCCAATTTGGGGGTCGTGAGGCCTTCTTGATTTTAAGAGGTGTAAGAAGACTTACACAGCCGGTCTATATCGCAGCTCTTCATTCATTGTTTTTAAAGAAAACTAAATGAAATGGTTCTTTTGAAACCTTCAGTCTCTGATAAACAGAGTCAGGGAGCAGCCTATGAAGTCTGTATGATTGTTGGAAATAAGACCGAGGATTGTATAAAAAGATCATTAAAACTCATCAATAATCAAACTTCCTGCAGTTATTCTGGTTCCCACATGAACCCTGAAGCAGGTTTTTCTTCCACCTGCTCCTTCTGGACGTTAACACACTGAACCGGTTCCTCTCCGATCGGCCCGATCAATCAATCAGCTGTGAGAATCTGATTTATAGATGTTTGTTTGTTTATTGTTTGGTGAGGAATGCCGTGGGAACACAACAGTTTATACAGCAGGAGACAGCTGTTCCACACCCTGTCTCACTCTCTGCATGTCCTCCATTCACCCTGTCTCTCTCTCTGTCCTTCATTCACCCTGTCTCTCTCTCTGTCCTTCATTCACCCTGTCTCACTCTGTCTGTCAGTAATGCTGCACCAGTGCTTCTGCTTTCAGCCTGTATATTTCTGAATGATGGCTGTATATCTCTATAATTCAGCCCTGAACTGAACGTTTCCAGGAACGTGAGCTCAGCAGAACGGCTGCCAGAGGAAGCCGCTCCTCCCTCGGCAGATAACCTCTCGCCTGCACTCTGACAGCCGTCACACTGGAACCAACCGGTAGCCGACAGACGATGAATTAAGAAATACAACAAAGGTCCAAAGGAAGTTTTGCGCGGACGGATTTAGATAAGACGAGTGAAAAGGAAAGTAAAGTACAGACAAAGTCGCTCTGCTGTGAATAGATTATTTTATATAAGAACAATCAAATCAAAAAGCGTTGCAGAATTTCACAACACAGTGTGACATTTTATTGTTGTGTAAAGCTGAACAACACAGAGTTGTGAAAAACAGAAGTGCAGCATGTGTTTGATGATCTGTGGAGGTTGGTTAATGTAAACTCATCCTAACTTATTCAACATGTTTCCTATTTTTAAAAAATTACATGTCACATTTTATTCTTATTTTGTCTCCTACAGCCTCGAAAATGTGGCTTCCCGCCCCCACACACAGAACCACACACTCCCTCCCCACCGATGTGCTCTGACTGGCAGCATGAATCCCGATCCATACACGACACATTATTTACAATAATATGACCACGACTTGTATACTTTGATTCACCATATTAGTCCAATTAATGAATCAAGCAGGACCATCAATATCGATCAAACGGGTCAAAGGTCAGCTAAACGCACTAAATCTACTGATTTCTTCTCCGTAAACATGTAAGAAACGCATATTTGAATAACGGCCTACAAGCAGCCGGATTGGAACGGCTCCTCCGGCACGTCCCAAGCCAAGCCAGGGTGTGCTGCGGGCCCGCCGCACGGTGGCGCGTACCCCATGCGGAACCACAAAACTGAAAATTTCACGTAATCTGATAAAAATCCCCACACAGGCG